ACTTTGTGACCCCCACCAAATATGTTCCCGTCCCACCCCCTATATCATATCCCAAAAATCAGCTCCTAACGACTGCTGCGACGCGTGCTATGAATTTCGTGACACACACAAACAGACAGACATAGCGTTTTATATATAGTAGAGATTTATGTTGTTACCAAAATTTTAGCATATTTTTTAATTTTACTTGATACGTTACCTGTTGTGTGGCTGGTTGTCTTTTCGCTTTTTGTTGTAACATGTTCACTTTTTGCTCCATCTGAACAACATTTGAAAGGACGAATTCGTTTCTGTAGTCTAGTGATCAAGGTCAGACAAGTTTTGAGACTAGTGGTAAGTGCAAACAGAAAATTGTAGTATATTGGCCAGCCGGATATATTTCACTTCTGCAAAGTGCCCGGCTCATCCTATGATCAATTTGGACGAAATATACCGATAAGATCGCAGTTAATAAGGATTTTTTCCCCAACAATCCGACTCGGATGTATTTTATTTTTGATTTTGATGACAGTATAAGCTTGTTTGAGTTTTACCGACGCCCGGCTCTGCCATCAAACAATACGGCCGTTAGCTCAACCCCAACCGGCTGAATTGTGCTGAACTGAAGTCCAGTGCCTCTTTTGGGAGAACTTCTTTCGTTCATTCCTGATTTCCATTTTTGTCAGTTGATCACTGGTGATCTACGTGTGCGACGAGAATTTAGTAAGTGACGGAGTATACTGCGACACTACATTTTGCGTAGTAAACAGTGCATCCAGGGCGGGCAGCCAGTTGTATATCTTTGGAGGACGTAATCTCGTTAATGGTCTAGTAGATTGATATCAGGATTTGACCGCTGCAAAGACCGCTTGCATTTTATTAGTTTCGTCCAATTAAAGTTGCACTTTCAACTGCACAGTTTTCAGTTGCACTTTGACTCAAAACTTGTTTGGAGAGAATAATAATGAAGATAGAAGCAGACCTTTTTCAGACCTTTCTGGAGGTTTTTGAGGCTCTGAACTAGGCTTCTCTTTCTCTGGAACAAAATTCATAAAAAACCAGGTAACAACTAGGATCTGACCGTGTTCTACACAGCCACGACACTCATCATTTCTCCTGCATCGATTGTTCCCGTGTAGAAACGTTCTTGGAGCAACTGTGAATTCTAAGGGGTTGATAACATTTCATCCATTTCAGCTGCCAATAAAGCAATTGTTTTTGGGAAGTGGAGAGGTCGCTTGTTCTAAAGTTTGTTTCGACGGCAACAAACAAGGATTGAATGAGAAGTGATGCCTTGAGATTATTTTCTGCCCAGTTGCACCGATGGCTTCACCCTAGATTGTCGCCCTGACGTGCGGCTGGGGAACGCTCATTCACTCTCAGTGAACTGTGCTACTCGTTCCGCCGTCGAGAACCAGTCATAGTCGTGCACTGTTACACGTTCAAGAGGCGGTTGGATCATTCAGGGCGAAGCGCGATTTTTCAAAGCGCTTTCGTGCATATTGTCGGGAAGCATGTATTAACCACCATGTTCCATGTTTTGCTGAACAGTTCTAGTAGTATTAAAAAAGTAGTGCAAGATAATGTTAATGATTTTCGGTGACGCCGAAATTCTGCATTCAAAATTAGCCGCTACTTGTCGACCTCAACAGGACCCTGACTATGAATATTACATCTGGTTTTGATATTTAGCGCCATTTGACACCAAGCCCTATACTCCAACCGAAATGCAAAATTTCGCCATTTAGGAAAAATCTAACCAGCAACTATAAGTTTTTACATCTTCTTTGGCTCTATTGGAACCGTTCTTTAAAAAGGAACATTGTTTTGTAGTCCATATATGCGTCCCTACGATATGCACGGATCTTCAATACAGCGCTTTGTCCTGAAAGACCGAATCAGGGTCGGATAATGGTGCGTGCACTACGTCGCCTACAGCTCTCTGTGCATTGAAACTCCAAAACAGTGAAAAATGCAATCACTGCGGAGGTGTAGGCAACGATGGGCAAGTCATCAGCGAATTAAACTGGAGAAATTGCAATGCTTATGGCCACAGCAAATGTAGAGCGACACCAAGATGATATAATCACTTTACTGGCTAACGTTTCCAGGACAGCCAAGGCGGTCTCATCGGGCAGCCAGGAATCAGCAGAGTCCTTGAGACTCGCTCAAGAAAATAGCTGCCTCCAACGGCTATCCCCCCAAACACCGAAGCTGCTCGGGACCTCCCGGTAGGATACCACAGGGACAGGCAACCGGAGAATCGGACAAGGTACCCTTTTGTGTACCCTTTCCTGAGTGATGGGATCAGCTCGGCAATTAGAAGTGCTCTACGAAAGTGCGGTCTTGCCGATATCGTTCGGGTGGTCGAGATCCCTCCCCCAAACCTTAGGCAGCAGCTAGTACGGAATCGATGGTATGACCGCACATGTGTCACCCCCACTGCGTCATCTGTCCCAACGGACGGGAGGGTGACTGCATGGTATCAGGAGTGATCTACCTGATCTCATGTAGGAGCTGCGGGGAGGAAATACATCGGAGAAACAGGACGGCCTTTATGCTCCAGAATCAAGGAGCACCTGGACGGCATGAGAAGATCAAGACCCGAGACCCCCCTCGGTGCCCACAGGTTGCAGTGCCATGAGAACGCGGAGTTTGAGGTTGCTGTGAGGATTTTGATGACCGAACCCCAGACCCCAGCACGCAAGACTCTGGAAGCATTTTGGATTGGCGCTAAAAGTCCTAAAATGAACAGGAAAGACGAATGCCTGTCAATAACTAATGAACTCGCACCGTTCCTTGACCTGTGCGGGCTTCGACCGCCTACGGCTTCATGTCGGGGGTCAGGTCACCTGGAGCCACCCACTGTCGGTCAGAATAGCGGTGGTCTAAGCAATAACCTGTCGTGTAATTAGAGGTGAGTCTAACGAGTGCTTGTGTCTTGCCCCTCCTATCTAGATGCCTATGGTCTAGAACGAATTGCTCTGAAGTTCGAAATTGTGTTTGGAGGCTAGGTCGCACTTATCTTTGACTTACTTCCAGGCTCTGACGACGGCGACACGGCCGAAACGTTAGCCAGTAAAGTGATTATATCATCTTGGTGTCGGCTACAGAAGCAACCCTACCGGAGAACAGGAATATATATCAACCTTGTAAGAGGCTAATTCTTGCACTTCTCCACATTTTTTTCTAATTAACTTGCATGAGAAACTACAAGTAAAAAAATCTCACTTATTGCCTGAAGGACCGGCGGCTGCTTAGCATCAAGATGAGGTGGCTTTTTCGGCGGTTTCTTCGTCATAATTTCGTCTTTTTGCAGTTCGCTCTCTTTATGACCTCCGACCTGAATAATGCAGGGTTGTAGTAATTGCAAACGAAAAAACACAGAGCAGTAGACAACTGTAGTGCCTGAGCAATTCTCAATGAAGAGTATCAAAGTAAGCTTACAATTTCACGGAAGCTACGCTGCTCAGGAGAATTCTCTCTGGATGAGTTGACGACGCCAGAGCCGGCTCTGAACGAAATCCGTCACAATGCAGGCACAGCACACCCCGTTATCGGAATGGAAGCAGCAGTGGGAATGATTTAAGATCGACTATTAGTATCGTAGTTACCGCATCCGGAGGATTGACACAACTTACGGGAACCGCTTGCGAGGCTCAATTTTTGCTTTCTGTCGGCTGTGCTGTTGTAACGAAAGAGGCTGCATAACTTTTTGACTTCCATTTCATCGATCATCTTAATAAAGTGGATTCTCGAAGTAGTGAAGTAGCCTGATTACCTCCGAGATCAACAAGAAGGTGTTGCTGCGCTCTACACCTAGAAGCGTCTCGATGTGAATAAAACCGGTGGGCTGCACTGTTGCAAGATTTCTTTACAAGGGAAAGGTGAATAGGTTGCGGCCACATGCAGCGACACGTCTAGAACGAGCTGGAGGACCAAGGACAGTTCAACTCTCTGAGCGCGGGTATCAAATTGGTTTCGAGTGAAAATGAATCACGTACGTGCTAAAGATAGTGCTAAGCGATGGAGCTAAGCAACTTGGGGATAGTTCTAAACAAATCTCAAACTATCGAGAAGCAAACTGCAGTAGTGCGACACTTCTATATGTACTATTGTATTTCATGAAACGCTAACTTGGTGGGGCGGTTATATGTATGCATGTCTTGCTGTCTTATGTGTGCATATATACAAGTCCGATATCGCGAAGTCTGACTGGCGTGTCCCGGAAATGACGTGCACACCCAGTACTTCCATAGGTGCTGTCTGAGATAAAATGCTCCGCCTCAGCAAAACGTGTTGGAAAGCAGTCTTAATCCTCAGCAACTTTTAATCCAGTGCGGTGCTGCCGACGTTCATCACACGATGATCCGCCCACCCGACCTTCGAGATATCGACCTGTATGTGTACAATCGTTGAAATGCTTGCTTCAGCTCTGCGGCTGGAAAACTAAGCAAAATGCAAAAGAAAATTCTCTAGCGGATCCGAATTACCGATCTCCATCCTGGGGAATCGCCGAATTAAATGCGGAGCAATCAAAAATCTTTCTCGAAGAATTCGTGGTTGACTTTAAGACAACTGCTGGAGTGCTACGATGGATGTTTTTTTTTCTCAAAGCTGACGCAGACGTTGCACCCACTTCCTGGAGAAGGAGTCGGAGGCACATATGGAATACTATCCCTCAATGAAGAGTAAATTGTTATTCAAGCTTCAATTCGAAAATTTTGTTATCCGTCAGAGTCAAGCTATTTTTTGGTTTCCGTAATGTGTTTACGCACTCGTAGAGAGCACAAAAAGCGGTGCACATTGGACTCAAAGCTATCCATGTAAGCTGAGGAAAGCACTAACGTGCGGCATGCGCTAGCAAAACTCCAAGAAAGTGAGGAAACACAGGTCCAAACCGATAGGGATGCATAGAGCTAGCAGAGTGTAAAACGTGGTAATCTGCTGCTATGGGTGAGGGTATGAATTAACATAAGACTAGGCAGAACGGTTGCGATATCAGACGAGATTGAGATTTTCAATGGGGATTGTGTCTGACCCAGATACTGAGCAGATAAGCATGCTTTGAATAACTGAGAAAACAGGAGTTGTTATCGGAAGACAGGAGAGACTAGCGTGACAGCGATCTCTCACCAGAACTCACTCTCTTCTGCAGTGTTGTTTCCTGGTGGTGCGAAGCGTATCTTCCAAGGCGTACTGAACACGAAATATAGAGCATCACAAGAGTTAGGATGTGAAGTAGAATCAGTTCCATCAGGTGCATTCCCACAGTGCATTCTCATGGAGATATGTTAGTGGCTTGCGTCTTTCTAGCCTCCCTTGTTTTCCATGATCTCTTTACCATGTATCCCATTTTGGCCCATCTGAGATATGCATATTATAATACTAGGTCGGTCAAAAAGCTCCCGCCGTCGCAGAAAATAGCAAGCTGGAGTTTCCCGTGTTCAGTAGCTCCATTCCCGAGATTGTACATAGTCGTCTTGTAGAGGGAAACCTGCACTATTCTCTGTATATACACTGCGTTTCATAAATATAGGTCCACCCTGAAATTTTACTATTTCAAAATTGCTGTGCATTTTTGAAAAATGGGTGATCACCAATAATTTCTCATAACGAAAACCTTGGTTATGATTTTCTGAAGAATTTTCAATCTGAATAACTCATATATTTTTCCGGAACGAATTTTCACTGTTTCACAAATATGACTACAAATCATTCTGTGAGAAATCTTCTTACAACAAAAAGGACGTTCCAACTTCCAGTAATGGTATGGGTGTCCATCAATCATAAGGACCACATTAACACGTTCTGGAGCGCTTGCAACCCAGCATTACGTTAGGATCAAAATTTGTCTAAGTGCCGATTATGAGCGTTTTCAGCTTCTTGATTGATCCATTGTGCTTTGCTTTGCTGTGAAACTTTTTACAATTAAGGCCAGGAATTCTCCATTGGAATCTGATTCAGATAACATGGTGGCCACCAGATAACTGCCACATTTTTTCCTGCACTTCCATCTGGCGTGGAAGGACCGGCATGGACAGCCGCGTTATCGTGCGTAAAAATCAAGGATTCGAGGGGGTGTTGTCGAAAAAATGGTAAAAGTCGCTTCAGAAAGAACTTCACGATACCCTATGGAATCTTTGTGAAAGGAAACAAAAGCGAGCTCTAGCTACTCAGTCGTTCAAAGGTGCCTCAAACCATAAGGGATTCACCGCCGAAATTACGTTACATTGAAACCATCTGCGATTTTCACGCGATCATCCTGTACCCTCTTTTTCTGCCATATCCACCTAGAATAAACTTTTCCACGTCGATCCAGACCACCTGTAGAAAGAAAGAAGGAGGCAGAGTCCAAGATTGCAAAGGGTC